ATTTTACAAATAAGTGAGCACTCCAAACTTATAATGCTCATTTTAAACACACCAGAGATCTCAGAAAGGGTGTGCTCCAGCAAGCCCAGCATCTGTGGCAAGAGCTTGATTTTCCACTATGCTCAAGTACAGGGTTTCCCAAACTTGGATCGCCAGTTGGTTTTTTTGGACTACAATTCCCATCATCCCTGACTACTGGTCTTGCTAGCTAGGGATGATGGGATTTGTAGTCCAACAACAGCTGGAGACCCAAGTTCGGGAAACCCTGCCCTAGTACAATGAGGCTTGCATCTAAAGCTCATTTTACCTCCAAGCGGCGCTGCTTCTCTGGATCTTCCTCGTTCATGATTCTCTCTTTCTCGGCCCGTTTCTTCTCCTCCCGGCGGGACTGAGCGGCCTCTTGTCTTTGCACATGAGTCAGTTTCAGAAAGTTCTCTTCTACACGTGCCCTATTCTTATCCGCTTTTTGTTTGCCCTTTGCCCCGAAGCAAGGGAGAGACACAAACAAGTCACAGTATGAGCAAACCTTTAGTGCATCAGGCAGTGTTGCAATGAGCTCAGCACGGGAGATAAAAATCTCTTGATACTCATATCTGACAAAGCTTAGTCCCGAACTGGTCAAAACTGGCTGGATTACAATATTACAACACACTACTCTGACACGTTTACGCGAGCTGCCCTTGATGACTCTCTGAGAGTGTCGGCAGGTACAGTGCACAGTTGCTCTTCCCTTTCTAAAAAGAGTACCGTACAACAATTATCCAGCACTGAAACTGGTTGTCTGTGTTCTTCCAAGCACATGTCAATGTGCTGGTTTAACATTTACAGCTTTGCGTTACCTGAACCCTGAACATCTAAAGCTAGCCCGCAGGCCAAATCAGATCCAACAGGGCCTAATTTGGCTGTGAGGTTGTTTTCCACAACCAACACTCACCTCCCCCACACCTGCTATTATGTATAAAAGGTAAAGGGACCCCTGACCATTAGGTCCAGTCGTGACCAACTCTGGGGTTGCGGCGCTCATCTCGCTTTATTGGCCGAGGGAGCCGGCGTACAGCTTCCGGGTCATGTGGCCAGCATGACTAAGCCGCTTCTGGCGAACTAGAGCAGCACACGGAAACGCCGTTTACCTTCCTGCTGGAGTGGTACCTATTTATCTACTTGCACTTTGACGTGCTTTCAAACTGCTAGGTTGGCAGGAGCAGGGACTGAGCAACGGGAGCTCACCCCGTCGCGGGGATTTGAACCGCCGACCTTTTGATTGGCAAGTCCTAGGCTCTGTGATTTAACCCACAGCGTCACCCGCGTCCCTTGCTAGTACGTATATTTGGCTGCAAAAAAATAAATCAATCAGTAACGTTTTAGCTGATCAGCACAAACTATCAGCTGATTGGTGCTGATAATAAGCCCTGCTGAAATTGGTAAGACTATCGAGCTCCCAACTGGGAACTCTGTAGTACAGCTGATCCCTGACCAAAGCAGCGCCTGCTATGAGCACCAAACAGCTGATTACCACTTACAACAAGCCATGCAGAGAAACACCATCTTTGCCTTCCTGGTTTGACCAGCAGCTGCTGCTGCAAATCCCACTTCCTTTGCCTGAAAGGCTTGAAATATAACTGTGTGGGCCAAGGAAAATGCTTGCCATAGTCGTGGCGGTTGCACCCACTGGTCAAAGTGGGCCACAATGTTTCGAGGAGTTCAGGATCCAGTCCACTGACTGAATCCATTCCCCACTCCCCAATCTAAATGACCGCTATATCCCTTCTCAGCTGGATCATGTCCCATTGCAACTAATGCTAGTCAGCCGAGAGAACTCTCTCAGGTATGTATTTGTGAGAAAGAGCGACAATTATGGAATTATCAATTAGCACATGACTTACCTCTCTGTTCAGACGAAATTTTTTTGCTTTGTCAATGGAATAAATAACCATGTTCATCAGAGGCAGCAGAGCTTCCATATCTTTTGGGGAGGTGTTGCCTGATCCAGGCACTAGAAAAAGCAAAAGTAAACTTTCCTAAGCTTAAAGGCATTGAAGAAAAGGAAAAGCATTCAGAAACAACAGTTGGAACAGAAGTGTTTCTGCATTACTCCACTTTTGGGACAGAAGTTTTAATGATCGCTTCATTGATTAGCTGATTAAATTAGTTTCTTACGCAACAGTTTATCAAATTTGTATACAAGGGAAAAGGTACTTCTAAAGCAAAAAGCATATGGTTTTTAAATCAGGGGTGGCTAATCTGTGACCCTCTAAGCTGTCATGTCTTCCCTGACCTTTGGGCTGATGGGAGTGTAATCCAACAACGCAGAGATTACAATCCCTGCTTTGAACACTGTCTCTTAAACAGAATTACTGCATCATTCCAAATTCAGGTAGATAGCCATGTTGGTCTGACGCAGGCAAACTAAAAAATTTAAAAAATTGCCCATTGTGTTCCATTGTGCAAGAAAATCTGAAGTAGTATCTGAAGAAGTGTGCATGCACATGAAAGCTTTATACCCAGAACAAACTTAGTTGGTCTCTAAGGTGCTACGGGACAATTTTTTAGTTTGACTGCATCATTCCAACTCACCCAAACTTTTAGAATTGTTGATTGTCATAACCTTTGCACACAGCTGATTTTCCTGCACAATTCATTGACAGAGGACAACTATAGACTTTCCAGTATTTAGAAATGCTCCTGCCAAAAGATTTTCTAGGACTCCCATTATCTTTCCTACTTCACCTGCATTGGTATGCAAGAACTGGTATGCAACTGTGATTCTGGGACACTGCCCTATTGTGACCTCCTTCTTATAACAAGGGGGGGGAGGAGGGGGAAACTACTACTGAAAATAAATAAACTCTTACCCACAATACATTACAAGTTATATTTTTACTGTGAAATGTGCTCCCAATTGTAACGTTTTACATCCTCAAGAAAAGTAGTTTGAAAACAGGCATGGCTGCTTACCATTAAAAGTAAACAATAGTGTCTTTTTAGTTTCAGGCAGTTTCAAAGGCTGACCTTCCCTAGTAGAGAACAACAACAAAAAAACATTTGTGGAAGGATATTACAGAATGTAACAAACAAAGGAAACATGGCAGTAACTAAAATCACCGTAAGCGAACACATGATGGGCTCCTGTTTTGGGTGTGTTTACATGCATTCTTCATTATGGGCCAAGTCTGGAAGATTTTAAGCTATCGCAGCAATTTCCTGCAAAGAATTTTTTGAGTGCTCTGGGAGTCATTTTGTGGTGGAAAAAAAGCAACGAATAAATTAAACAACCACCACTTTCTTGCAGGGCGTTTGTGAATACATTTCCCACAATAAACCCCGCTGGAAACACTGGTGAGAAAAAAATATGATTAGACAATAGTCTCCCTTGCCTCCGGGACACGGGTGGCACTGTGGGTTAAACCACAGAGCCTAGGGCTTGCCGATCAAAAGGTCGGCGGTTCGAATCCCCATGATGGGGTGAGCTCCTGTTGCTCGGTCCCTGCTCCTGCCAAAGTAGCAGTTCAAAAGCACATCAAAGTGCAAGTAGGTAAATAGGTACTGCTCCAGCGAGAAGGTAAACGGTGTTTCCATGCGCTGCTCTGGTTCACCAGAAGCAGCTTAGTCATGCTGGCCACATGACCCGGAAGCTGTACGCCGGCTCCCTCGGCTAGTAAAGCGAGATGAGCGCCGCAACCCCAGAGTTGGCCACGACTGGACCTAATGGTCAGGGGTCCCTTTACCTTTACCTCCCTTGCTTCCACTGCAAAGTGTTAAGACACTCAAGAAAAAGCATCCTACAAGGAGAAGCCCAATTGCATCCAGGTGTCCTTTACTAGCAGTGGAGAATCTGTCTTGGGAATCTGCTCCTTCCACAGAGGAGGCCGACCTATGACAGATCCTTACCCTCTAACTTGCTGCAAACAGACCACTTAGCAGACTGCTGTGAGAAGCATGATGGTCTAATGCGCAGTAACTGGGACACAACCTATAATTCCTTCTGCGTATCCTTCTTCAAGCAGCTGTGGATTAGCCAACAGCTGGATCAGGTATCCCCAAACTCGGCCCTCCAGATCTTTTGGGACTACAGCTCCCACCATCCCTAGCTAATAGGACCAGTGGTCAGGGATGATGGGAGTTGTAGTCCCAAAACACCTGGAGAGCAGAGTTTGGGGATGCCTGAGCTGGATCATATAGCTGCTCTAAAGAAACAGTGCTTTCTTACTGACTGCCCATTTTTTAAGCACTCCCACTTCGCATACTGTAGAACTGACCTCTGGTGCTGAAGAAAAGCCAAAGCCTACTGTAAACTAAATAAATTATGTGACCAGGCCAGTTTGGAATCCCCAACTCATGGTCATCATGACCAGAGGAACAGCACTATATAGGCACCCTTCTCTGCTCTCTGGGTAATAAAGGAGATTGCCTACGGTGGTTGTTTTTTGCCTACGGTGGTGGTTGTTTTACAAAGTTCAGTGCAACATTAATTTGAAGGCATGCTATTTATTGTGTCATACTTACTCTTGCATAAGTTTTGGACCGGAAAACTGGTCCGAAAAATGGACGGACTCAATCTTGTCAGCATAATGTGTGAGGTAATGGATCATCTAGAAGAAGAAGAAAAAAGAAGATCTGGAATGCAGTCGTAGCTTGGAAGTCAAAGAGCTTAGTTCCCGAACATTTTGGCTCCCGAATGGCGCAGACCCGGAAGTGACTGTTCTGGTTTGTGAACTGTTTTTGAAAGCTGAATGTGCGACGGCGCTTCCGCGGCTTCCGATTGGCTGAAAGAGCTTCCTGCAGCCAATCTTGCAGCCAATCAGAAGCTGTGCTCTGGCTTTCGAACGTTTTGGAAGTCGAACGGACTTCTGGAATGGATTCCGTTCGACTTCCAAGGTACGACTGTACTGTAACGTAGGAAGCTGCCTTAGGCCATTGGTTCATCTGGCCCTGTATTGTCTGCAGTGACTGTCGGTGGTCCTCCAGGGTTCAGGTAGCGGGCTCTCTCTCTCTGCCCTACCTGGAGACGCCGGGGATTAAACCTGGACCCTTCTGCAGATAAAACAGATGCTTTTACCACTGAGCTATGGCCCTCCCCTGCTTTGTCCTAAACGAAATGTTCCTAGAAAGCACACAGAGGAGTTCTTCATTGCTTATGAAATAGTATACACTACCTGAATAAACTACATTCCCCCCCTGTTGCATCCATTATGATGCAATCAGCACCACAAGATGAGCCATGCTGGGTCCGATCAATGGTCCAGGATTTTATTACCCAAAACGGCCTGTCAGATGTCTCTGGGCTGACAGTGAATAGAAAGCCAGGAAAACATTTTAGGGTACTGATAAAAATCTCAAAAGATCCTAGCAAAGTATCTGGGTACAAAATCAACTTGAGTAAATCAGAATGGTTTGGTTTTATCCTACTGAAAAGGAATGAAGATGAAATGGTAAATAAATATAACGCGCCCTGAAGATCTATTCGGATCTGCCTAATCAAAACGGAGACCAGCTGACTGAATTCAAACACAGTCAGCTGCTGCAAGAAACAGACAACATCTAAAAGAAAGTGGGAAATGAAAAAAAATATCTGGGCTGAGTAGATTTTCAATGATTAAAATGAAAATGTATTGCCCCAAATCCTATTTTTCTCCATGAATATGCCACTAAAGAGAAATAACACATGACTCACAAGATGACAGAAGGTACGGCTAAATTTTCTTTGGTCAGAAAAGAAGCCCAGAGTGCCCAGAGTCAATGTAATACCATATCAGCTAACATCACAAGGAGGGCTTTCTTTCCCCATATAAACCGCTATTACCATGTGGCTATGCTGCTGTATTAGGAAGAAGAGTTGCAGAATCCAGGAACAATAATAAAACAATGAGACGTATTAGTTGTTGCTATGGCATTGTAACCCCAGAGAGCTATCAATCAGGAAAAACCCTGAGCCCTGCATGAAAATATCTTCACTATATAAAGGGGGGAGATAATAAAGGAGAAGACATCTGTTGGCAGCCCTTAAGTTGTGGAATGCCCACCCCACAGCTTTTGGCAAATACTGAAAATGTTTTCATTTTGCACCCAATTCCTGTGACTGTCATTTGTTCTAACCTTTTTTTAAATACTGGGTTTCAAATTGTTGCAATCTGCCCTGTGACCTGCTGGTGAAAGACGGGAAGTAAATGTAAAAATCTTTATCATCATCATCATCCTGCTCTTGCATGAACTAATGGTTGTAATGTTATAACAAAGAATTGGAAAATAAGGAACAATTAGGGAATATGCAAATATGGGAGAAGTGTGGTCAAACTTGGAAAAAATAGTGGGAGATGGTACAATAATCTAAGACTCTTTCCCATGACACCGGAGCAACCCTCAAATTATCAACAACAGCAAGGTATATTTCTTACAGCAATTTGGGAGCCTTGAGTGCTCACTGGAAGGACAGATCGTGAAGCTGAGGCTCCAATACTTTGGCCACCTCATGAGAAGAGAAGACTCCCTGGAAAAGACCCTGATGTTGGGAAAGATGGAGGGCACAAGGAGAAGGGGACGACAGAGGACGAGATGGCTGGATAGTGTTCTCGAAGCTACCAGCATGAGTTTGACCAAAATGCGGGAGGCAGTGGATGACAGGAGTGCCTGGCGTGCTCTGGTCCATGGGGTCACGAAGAGTCGGACACGACTAAACGACTAAACAACAACAACAACCCCACAAAGCTGAATGTTCCATTTTTCATAGCTGTCCAAGACAGAAGGATTCTTGGGGGGGGGGTGAGTAAGGTGATTCCAAGGTGCAGTTTTGTAGATGGCGACCTCAGAAGACAAAGTTCAAGCATTTGAGTGCCCTGTTATAGCTCTCATGAGAGTTCACACCAACCACAGCCTGAAAGATTTTATCTTTTTTAAAAAAACACACCAAAAAAACCCAAACCACATTACCTTGGTATCCATCATTCCTTCTGTGACCTCACCCATCTCAGACAGGATAGCCAATGACTCTGGCAGCCCATACTTCACTGCGGTCTTGGGTTTGTCACTGCAGAACTCACTCTGCCAAGAAGAAATTGCCACGTTATGACAAGCATGGTCTGGACTGCGTCTACCTCCCCTTAAGTAAACAGGTGTTTGCACAATTTACTTAAACCTTAGGAACTGGTTTAAGTTCCCAAGAGCTAGAACTGAAGCCCTGGTCAATTCATAGACTGCCGCGTGCCTCTGAAGACTCAAGAGACCCAAAAGAAAAAGCATGCATATGCATACACAACAATTTGTTTTTTATTACATTTGTGGGGTGTGTTTTTTAATGGCCTCCGTGAAGCCTCAGGGTACGTTAGGGCATTTTAATGGCATGTCTAGGTAAACTATAAAGACAAAAATGCTCCAAATCAACAAACTTTATCTCTTTTTTTATAACTGGCATAGAGGCTGAATCTTGAAATTCTATAGGCACTAAAGGAAGTTTTTGAATTAGTTCTTATGAATGATAGACTAAGGTGAGCACTCATCACTCAGGTGTATCACCTGCACTTTAATAAACAGTGAGTATAAAAAACTCATTTCCATCATAAAGGAAATTGGGTGTACCACCAATGCTTTTCCTCTATCCTCTCTTTACATGCTGAAATTCCTTCCCTTTCTGGCTTGAGGGAGAAAATAGAACCATGCTGTGGTTTTTTATTTTGGTTTGCTGAGCAACCACAAACCACTGTCTGTTAGTTCAAATGGCACAAAAGAAACTATGGATTGTGACAAACCAGGGAGGGAATTGCAGAGAATTGCAGAGGATGACAAAACATGAGGCAGAGGGTCCTGCCAGACTTCCTTCACATAGCACTAAACCATTGCTTAGCAGTACATTTGTACCTATCCACTGTACTGAATTATGTTCAGCAAATGCAATGACTGCACCCAAGTCAGGGTTCTTAGCAGCAGACTACATCAGGTGGTTTAAAGAAGCATACCATTAAGGCAATTTGGGGCCAAATGCAGTTTTTATGCATTTTCAAGTACATTATATATATTCTGGTTTCCTCCCAATGTCCCGGAACATACCAGGTCCTGCATTTCCTTCTGAAGCCGCACCAAAGCTTTTCTTGTCCCAACAGCAAACACGTAGGTATCCATGTCGTCGTCGTTCATGGTAACTTTTATTTGCTGAGCAACAGAAAGAACGATTGTCACATCCAGGCTTGCACACAAAAAAAGGACATAAATACAAGAAAAAGGAAAGCAGTGGCCAGGACTCCATGCCATTGCCAAAAGCAAAAATAGATTCAGACTTTACAAAGGGCTATCAGCAAAGATCAGGGTCAGGTTGGATAGGAGCCCGAAGGTAATTACAAAGGTCCTCTAAAATATAATTACAAGAGGGCATAACATAAACGACTACTTCTCCTTCATAACACAACACCAGGTGAGCAAATAATAGGTCCCTTCTAGCAGCAAGGTGTTACCACTGCTAGAACAACTTACCGCATACTTTTAAAACCTTAAGCAGTGTCAATGGTTTTGTTCGAACCACATTAAACTGAACTGCAGTCTTTTTAACCCACCCAGTAAGTGAAGCATTGCTTCGCTTAATTCTACTGCAAAGGATATTCCCAGTAAAAGAAATCACAGTCCTATGTTCAAGCCCCTTATGATGGCAAGGAAATGGAAGGAATTGGCAGGACAACCTCTCATTGCATGCCTACACAGCTATTCCCATTTTGTACAGTAATTCCTAACTTTGGGTTAGGAATGAATGACAGAGAGTATTATTAGCGGCTGGCATTGCTACACAATTTCAGTTGCAGCATGCAGCAAGAGCAACTCTTGGTAGTTCTAGACAAAGAAGCACAGAATTCTGCAGCCAGAATAAATTACAAAATGTGTGTATAATTATTTTTGCGTAACGTAATTCTGATGAACATGGGAGCCAGGCAAGTTCTTATGCAGAGCAATACAACCCCGTGCTTCCTATTCCAACATTCTGCTGAGACTCCCTCGGGCTTCTGAGAATTTCAGCAGACACCACATGTTAAGAAGTCTGCCTTCTCAGGCTCAAGTGCTAGAAACTTGGGGGAGTTGCTTTTATTAACTAACAACATTCTCAGCATGACTGTGGCAGCATGGAATTCACTCATTTCTGTGTGTAACATGCACCTCAAATATAGTTTCATGAACTTAAAAGCTCCCTTAGGCCACAGAACTAAACACTTACCACTTGGTCACAGGATGGCCTCATCATGCGAGCGAGAACGTTCAGCAAGTCTTGTCTCTTGAGAAACTGAAAGACAGCATTTTGACCGTGGTGAAACCCTGCTCCAGACTTGCAGCATAGAATGGCATGTTCTTGCAAGGCCCATTAAAATCAACATATGTGAGATGTACCATAGGAATCCCTGCCTTACAAATGTAAATACTGGTGCGTCCTGCTAGTGCAAGGAAGATCTACTGCAGCTCCCAATAATCATCTGAGCTTGGTATTTATTGCTTCTTTCATATTATTACATTTAAACCCTGCTCTTCTTCCACCACATAATTCAAAATGGCCTGGCTTGGAGAAGTTAGCAATCTCTTCTTCCACCTGGAAACTTAACGTGTGCCAAGGATAACAGCAGGAGGACTCAAAGAAGGAACTTTTGGAAACTCAAGGCAGTAGAAACATAAGATGATTGGACCCCACTGAACTTGAAGCATGGGAAGCCCCAACAAAAATTTATAATTTGGCAAAATATTTGGACTTTATGATATGTATTTGTATAATTTGGAATATTTAATGTGATTTGATTGGACTGTTAAAATGGAAAACTTAATAAAAATTATTATTTTAAAAAAAGGAAACTTAACGTGTGCCATGACCAGACCAAGGCATGATTATCTTCAGCAAAGCTGCTGCATTGTGCAATTTCAAGACCACCTTCTGGGATCATTTGTGTTCTCCACACATTTATTTTTATTTAAATGCATTTGCAACCCCAGGAGCAGCTAGCCTAGTGGGGTGGAGCATTGCTGTTGCTTACCAGGAGGAGGAAGAGGAAGAGGAAGAGGAAGAGGAAGAGGAAGAGGAAGAGGAAGAGGAGGAAGACAGTGGTGAGATTTGAGCTAT